CGCCGCCAGCCCCCGAGCAGGCGCGGATAGCCCAGCTGCCGCCTTCCCCGCCACGGCCGGAAGCTGCGCCAGCCCCCAAGCTGCCGCCGCCAGCCCCTGAGCAGCAAGCGCTGAGAACCGTGCCGCCTCCCCCGCCACGCCCGGAAATAGCGCCAGTCGCCCCCAAGGCCCCACCTCCACCACCGCCAGCCCCAGCTGCCATCATCTCACCACCACCACCACCACCACCGCCACCACCGCCACCACCACGACTGCCGCCGCCAGCCCCCGAGCAGCAAGCGCCAAGAGCTGTGCCGCCTCCCGCGCCACGGCTGGAAACTTTGCCAGCCCCACCCCAGGCTCCGCCGCCGCCGCCACCACCACCTCTGCCTCTCATCGCACCCGCCCCAAGCCCCAGAGCAGGTGCCTTGCTTACAGGGGTGACTCTTGCCCTGCCAAGGGACGCGCCTCGAACCATTTAACAAAAACACGACGCAGTGTATTTTTCTTTCTTTCTTTTCCTTTCTAGCAGGCCCTTTATCCACCTGTTCCTGTGCCTGCAGGTGTGGCTGGCAGCTGCGCCACCGAGGCCGCCACCGACCTGGCAGGCGGCGACCTGCCCGATGACGGCCAGCTCAGCGGGCCGCAGCGCCGCGTGGCCGACGTCGCCGCCTGCTGCGCCAAGTGCCTGGCGCGGGCAGACTGCGCTGCATGGTGAGCTGCGCAGACTGCCGGCGTGGTGGCGGGCAGGATGCTGCTGGTCCAGCCGCAAAGCCCGGCTGACAGGGCCTGCAGCTCACAGGGGGGCAGCTCATACAGGGGGCAGCTCACATAGGCGTGCCCACCTGGCACCAGAGCCAACCTGCGTGCTCGGCTGTCCCGCCTGGCGCTGCCTGCAGGGTGTTTGGAGACACCAGGGGCTGCCCCAATTGCTGCTTCCTCAAGGCCGCCACGGGCTGGTCCCGCCAGCCCTCTGCGGCACTGGTGGCGGGCACTGTGGCGAGTCGGGGGGTGGCACCCGCCGCTGCTGCAGCACAGTCTCCCTCGCCCCCGCCGGCGCCACAGCAGCCGCCGCCGCCCTCACCCTCGCCGTCTCCCTCGCCGCCGCCGCCACCACCGCCCAGCCAGCAGGCTGGCGGCGCGGCTGGCAGCTGCGCCACCGAGGCCGGCACCGACCTGGCAGGCGGCGACCTGCGCGACGACCGCCAGCTCAGGGGCCCGCAGCGCCGCGTGGCCGACGTTAAATCCTGCTGCGCCAAGTGTGTGGTGCGGGCAGACTGCGCTGCGTGGTGAGCCATCGGCAGGCCCATGCATGGGGCATTGAGCTGAAGTAGCGATGTGCTGCTGCGATGCACTGCAGCCAAACTGCGGCCCTGTGGCCGAGTCCGCCAACTCTCCACTCGCCCTTGTCGCTGCTGTGCTGACGGCCCCGTGCTGGCTGCCTCGCGGGTGCAGGGTGTTTGGCAACGCTCCGGGCTGCCCCAACTGCTGCTTCCTGAAGGCAGCCAGCGGATGGAGCCGCCAGCCCTCCGCGGCGCTGACGGCCGGCACCGTGCCGGGCCGCGGCGCACCTGCTCAGCCTCCCTCACCTGCTGAGCCCCCGGCACCTGCTCCCTCGCCGCCGCCGGCTCCCGCTACACCACCCTCGCCGTCGGCACCGCTCCCGGGCCCGTCTGGCAGCGTAGCCGCTGCCCAGCAGCAGTGCAACATTCTGCCACGCACAAACCTGCAGGGGCTGGTGGTCTCCACCAGTTCCGAGCCAGATGAAGGAGCCTGCTGCCAGAGGTGCCGTGCGCACCCCACCTGCAACGCGTTTGTCTACTGCCCCCAGCCTGGCGGGTGAGGTTCCACGAGCCTGCTGGGCAGCCGAAGCGCGTGCCCCTCGATGCATGCCTCGATGCATGCCTGCTCAACCTGCCAGCACGCTGGCCCCTTGCGCTCCTGCAGCTGCATGGGCGGGACGCTCTACCCTTCCCGCCTGTGCTCCCTGAAGCAGCAGCCCGCCGACGCCAGCGGCCGGCCCGACTTGGCCTCCTACGGCTCCGGCCCAGAGGTGCCCTGGACGTCCGGGTGGATCGCCAAAGGCGGCGCCAGCGTCTCACCAACCCCGGCGCCTGCCGCAGCCTCTGCCTCAGACTCGGCCTCAGCCTCAGCTTCTTCCTCATCCAGCGGCAGGGTGCAGCTGCTGCCGTGACCCATGTCAGCGTGCCTGAACCAGCAGCGTGCCTGAAGCATCTGCGTGCCTGAACCAACAGCGTGCCTGTGTCAGCCTGGCTGATGAGCCTGCGCTCACGCCTACCAGGGGTGCATGCATGTGCTCGCCCCGTGCCCCGCAACAGCATGTGACTGACGACATTGCAACTGCAACATCAGCTCCTCACATCCCATGGGGCGCTTACAAACGGCACGCGCAGACGAGCACTGCCCACTCACCCGCTGCAAGCGGATGGAAAAAAATGCTTACAAGCAAGTGGTGTGACAGCAGAACAGCTCCCCTGCCACCCCAATTCCCAATTCCCAACCCACAAATTTTACTTTTTCGAACGATCGAATCAATCAAAGCGCGCCCGCGGATATTCAAACAGCCTGCAGATATTTTCATATCAGCAGACTGACTTTTCACCCACCTGTCACAGATTTTCCCTCGCCCGTTCGGTTTTTTGCCGACAGCTGGCTAGCAGCCAGACTATATAAGGAGCCTCGATGCCCTGACAAGATCATCTTTTCTCTCCCTTTGTGCTGGAGTGCCCCTGTGTAATAACAGGCGCCCGCCGCCCCAGCCCCGCCCGAAGGAGAAGGATCCTGCCGCTGCGACCAGCGCTCGGCAGTCACCCCAGCGCTCTCACGAGGCTCCCCGCTCTCACACAAAGACAAAACAGGCCGGCCGGAACCTTCTGGACCCGCGCCGCCTTTTTGCTGGCGCCGAATCGGGGAAAGTGCGTGGTTGCTGTGCCCTGCACGACCCCAAAGTAACCGTGTGAAGCGATCAGGACGCCCTCCGAGCTCTTCCGAGACAGCGCCGCCACCACATGCCTACCACCGCACCCTCAGCAGAAGCGCGGGCGCCCTGCCAACCCACGTTCAACATGCAGGTGGCTGTCTCAAAGTTCTCCGGTTCTGCAAAGGAGAATACAGAGACCTTCATCCGCACGGTTGAGAGCGCGAAGGGCCTCTACAGCTGGAGCGACGCCCAGGCCATGGCGTTCGCCGGCCTCCATCTGAAAGGGAAGGCGCTGGACTGTACAACATTCAGAGC